ACAAAACCGCGCCGAGAAAATCTCGAGGTCGAAATCACGCCCACAGAAGCGCGCCATCAAGAAACAACACGAAAACAATGTAATAACAACATAATAACCCTAACCCTGACTCTTACCTTAACCCTAATCACGCTTTTGTGGGCACGGTTTTGTCGGCGCTCTTGTGGGAGCGCTTTCGACCTTGCGATTTTCTCACTGCGGTTTTGTCGGCACGCTTTTGTCAGGCGTGCATTTGACGGGTCATGAGTAATTAGCACTTGGAATTATTTATTGAATTTGTGTCTTTTTCCTAGGCTTACTGCAGTACTGCACAATTTATCATTAGAGATGAAAAACTATGAATGTTTAATGAACAAAAAGCCATTGGGAGAGGGAGGGGATTTTGGATTTTATTTGGCAGAAAGAGAAAGGCATATCAGTCAAAATTAATAGGAAACATCCCAACAGCTTTTCCAGATTTTTTTTCTCCTCCAACTTCTTAGGACAAATGAAACTGGTGAGAAATCTAGAAAATAACCTTACAAAATACCCGAGCAATAGACAGTATATAGAAAAATTGTCAAAGATATATTGTTTTCAAGACCTATTGCCAGGAAAACTTAAAAAAAAAGGGGTTGTATAATTAATGTCCTTGCTTGTTTGGCAAGGAATAGTTGTATATTAGGCAGAAAGTGCTGTCATGTATGGTGTCATATTAATTGCTAAGGCTCAGTGCTAAGGAGGTTTATTTTAAAAAAATTAAGCAAGGCTCATTTGAATTGCATACTATTTATCATTTAAGGAAATCAGATTTGCAGTATTTGTCATTGTGATTATGCTAGTGCTAGTTCCCCCCCCCCCCAGCCCAGTTTAAAAACATACCAGTGGAACTATTTTTAAAACTACAGTAAAAATATGATTCATTTAACATGATGCTATTTCACGGATTTATTTTTAAAATTAGTAGTGATATTATTCTGCACTAATTATCCACTTGGTCAGGTTTGCTTTGATGATGGCATATTTTAAACTAATTTAATTATAAATAAGTTACAGAAAAATGTGTTTCTTGCTCAGTTATTTTCAGGGTGTTTTTCGTTTGTATACATGTGTAAAGAATGTACATACCATTCCATTGCATAAAGTTTGCAAATTTGTATAAGTGCAGTATATTTGAATACACTTCTCAAGAAGCAGCTAATATTTAAATTACCAAGACTGTTGAAATAAATTGAAGGATATTACTTAAGTGTATTTCTATAGTGTCATATTTTTAAAGGACTCATGGCAGTATACAGTTAAAATTAAATTTTAAAAAATAAACATAACAAATCAAAACCATCATAATGACACCTAACCATAGATTTAAAATTGATAGAAACCATCCCACTAGGCTAGACAACAAAAGAAACTCCTGAGATATTCTTTTACCAATAGTATAACTCACAGATGGGTTCCTAACGGTTCAGCTGAACTAGTAGTGGTATACCGGCCTGGGTCGCAGAACCGGTAATGACTGCTGGCTGGCCACACCCCCAAACTGGTCCGCCTGCTCGGACCCTCGCCCTGCCTCCCCTTCACCACGTGCATCCACTGCTGACTCCTGCCTACACACAGGTAAGGATTGTGGCGAGGATGATGATGGTGGGGCATCCCGGAATTCCCGGGGAGTTTTCCCCTGCGGCTTTAGCCAGGATACAGTGAGCAGCAGCTCCAAAAGTTGGCAGGGTCCCCAGTGCCACAGAGCAGAGTCGGCACTGCCTCTGCCAATGGCTGCCTGCCCTTCAGGAGCAGAGGCCACACTGGCTGCCTCTAATATGCAGTTTACTTGTGAACACTATGCCAGGCCGCTGCTCCTCTCCCCACTGGGCTGGCGTCTCCCGAAGCTGCTGGTGTTGCTAAGGTGAGGTGGGGGGGGGGCTGGCAAGTTTCACATCCGCCAGCTTTGGAAGATGTTAGCCTGGCGGGGAGGGGGGGCGACCTGACCAGCTTCGCAATGGCTGCGAAGCTTCTTGGGCCCTTGTCCCTGCAGACTAGCGTCTCCCAAAGTTGTTGACATTGCAGGGTACCTGTTATTACTGGCTGTGCCGGGTGCCCAGGAAAACTCCCCAGTGCGGTGCAGTTCCAGGGTGGCAGAGGGCTCTGGCATACTCTGCTGCCGCCGTCACCACTGCTACTGCTACTAGCCGCGTCGGGTGCCCAGGAATACTCCCTGGCACGGCACAGCTCTGGGGTAGTGGAGAGCCCTGCCCTGCTGTTCTCAGCCTGCCTGTTTTGTGGAGCGAGCTTGGAAAAGGATAGCAGGAGTCGCCAGAGATGCAGCATGTGAACAACCGTCTTCATTCTTTGGCATCAGCAAAACAGAATTCAAACCTACCTGGAAAGGAACAAGGTTGGGCCCCTCTTTGAGGTAAGGGCTCCTCCGAGCCTCTGGCTTGCTCGGCTTAGACTGAGGCAGCAGCTCTCGGGTATTCTTGGCATGAGCGGCTGGCCAGGCAAGGGCTTCATGGAAGGCAGGCAAGCATGTTGGGGCTGGCCAGCCACGGGGAAGGGAGCTAGCAGCCTACTCCCTTCTCCACACACTTGCAATGCTTGTCTGTCTGCCACACTGCCTTCCCAGCAGTCCCCCATGCCTGCTTGCCTTCTGAGGTCAGCGTCCAGCCCGGCCTGGCTAGTGAGTAAGCGGGCGGCCCTTGGTGGAGACGCAGCCACTACTCTGAGGCTGAGAGGGGCGATGCCAGCAGGGATGCTTCAGGAGGGCAGGCAGTGCTTATGTGCAGTAACCTTGGACAGCAGCCTAGCGCCTGCTGTCCCAGAGCACCACCACCACAACACTGTCCCTCTTAGTCCCAGAGCTGTGGCTGCATCTCCACCAAGGACCGCCTGGCCACCCACTTGCTGGGCCAGGCTGGACACTGACCTCAGAAGGCAAGTGGGCGTGAGGGGACCACTGGGAAGGCAGCGTGGAAGGCAGACGAGAGAGAGTCAATAAAGAAAGGAAGAAAAAGAAAGGAAGGAAGGGAGAGAGAGAAAAGAAAAGATAGAGACAAAGAAAGAGAAAGAAAGAAAGAAAGAGCAAGGGAGAGAGAGAGACAAAGAAAGAAAAAAGAAAGAACTAAAGAAAGAATGAAAGAAAGAGAGAGAGAGAGAACTTATGACCACAATTGTGCCCAAAATGTTGGTTGCTAAGCAAAAGCTTTATTAAGTGAATTTCACCACATTTTACAAGTTGGCCATACCCACCCGGTCACATGATCATCAAGCCATGACCCCAACCTACACCCACAGTACTGGTAGGGAACATTTTTGGCTTTCACCACTGACCAGGTCATACCAAGTTACTTTGAGTTTGCTTTAATTGCAATTGCAATTGCTGGTGGAAGCAACTGGTGCATGAGTCAGTTCACCTATTGCTGAATGATTCAAGTTTTTGGTTGGCTATTAGCAATGAGATAGATTACCCCCCCGCCCCGACATATTCTTTTTCTGTGTGCTACTTCTATCCCTTTCCACTTGAAGGGGGGTGGGAGAGAGACAGAGAAAGAAAGAGAGAAAAGAAAGAAAGAGACAAAGAAAGAAAATAGAATGGAAGAGAGAGAGAAGAAAGAGACCAAGAAAGAA